AAAAAAAAAAACAAAGGCCCTTTGGTAAGGTTTTTTGTTCCCCCCCCCCCCCCGAATTCCAGTGGCAAGTATGATTCCACCGTATCATATCAGGCTTCAGTTCTATCATTCAACAGATTGGCTTTCCAATCATTCTAAGTAGGTATCAATCCCATTATGTAAATGGAAGTTTTCTAATATATTTCTTGACTTTCCCTTTCCATATATTAGGAAACCATATTCAGTTAACATATGCTATACTTGGAAGAGTACTTACAAAAAAATTTTCCACTTGGAATTCATAAGTGAACGGCTTCAGGGTAAGAGACTGTTCTTCAGAGGTAGCTGGACAAAAGCTGACTGAAAACAGGCACTGCAAGGAGAGAGGAAGCTCTTTTGTCCACTTCAATTCCCATACAAAGAATATTGATTGCTTACTGTATATGACCTGAAAGAGAATGTTCATAGTATTAGCTCCTTCCTTCCTCTGAGAAAGAAGTGGAAATGCACATACGTACGTTTGTCTGTTCTGGCATTAATATAGTTTATAAAAATAAATCACCTGTTTAGTGTTAAATAAATCATTAGAGAAAATATGGAACCAAAATAACAAATAGTGAATGTTTTTAACAATGCTCATCTAATTAAAAGGAGGGATACATTCCACTGTCAGAATCAATGTTTCAAAAGCAAACGCTTCACATTCAAGTATGCATGAAAAATATTTTATTCAAAAGTCAAATTTAATAAAGATAATAATGTTTGTATATACTTTTCCTAGGTACCAAGAATGACCAATTTAATGTCACATTCAGGCAAGGCTGAAAGAAACTTCAAGAAACTGTTTTGCAACTTAACTAGTTTACAGCTGTATTTAATGGGAAAACAGCCTCTACCTGATTTTTTTCCTAATGCCTAATGACAAACTGCAGCTATAAGATAAACAAATTAAATGTTAAACAGCGATATTAGTGATATTACATTTGTATAGCTGTTGTTCAAGCAGGTACATAGTGCTTTGCATGAGGCAAATGGACAAGTTTGAAAACTTGTCTAATAATCTTTAGAAGTTTCAGAATTTAATCTGAGATCTGTGGGTGTAAATGCCTTCTAAAGCATCTTTAAGAATCAAAGTTACTCAGAGGACTACAAAGGTCTGACCTAACATCAGCTATGAGCCTTACTTACTACAAAAATCTATGTGCAGAAGTGCTAATAATCTCAGTAACAAGAACTTTCACCTGGCTGTCCTGCCAACGGGCTCATAAACCACCCAGTGAATCTTTACCTGTTGAGATTCAGGGTTCAGAGGTACCAGCTGCAAATCTGTACAGTCAGCACAATTTTTTAGGCTGTTGTCTGAAAGCTGGAAACAGAGTTCTGACAAATTCTGTACACAGACTTGCACATATTTCCTGAAAAACATGACACAGTTTGTACAACAAAAGCTGAATAGTTACATTGAAAGAGTACATGTCCATAAAACTGTTTTCAAAGTGCACAGCTCAAGCAAAAACAGAATGGCAGGTATATTTGTTTCTTTCAATCTTTTCCTCAATACTTATAAGTCTGTAGAAATAAGGCTGTAAAACACCCTCTTTCATATTAAATGAAAACAAATAACTAGACAGAAATAGGCTAGCTTGGTTTATCTTGTGGTCTTATTTCCAAAATAGCTGAAACCACAAATTTGTTTTTTTGTTATGAAAGAACACTAGAGGAAATGCACAAGCTTCCAGTGGGAAGCTATATAAGATAACAAAAGCCCGACTTAAAAAAAAAGGCTGCTATAAATATTACTTATGAAACTCCAGCTCCATATTTTGTAAGAAGAAAGAAACAATAAATACTTAATGAGTACATTACCGTTTGCCAGCTGACAATAAGGAATGCTTGGCATTAAAAGGTATGCAGAATGTTAATGCAATAATAGTGGAGTAAATCGACCAAGGACAATCAATGGTTACCTAAAGGAAAAAGGGAACAAAGTTCTTATTTGTAATGGTCTTTGGCATAATTATTTTGTTTTTCTTCTCATTTCTAAGCAAAACTTTTCTCAGCAAGTGTCTACATCTAATGCATCCAGAAGGGGAAGAAGAAAAAAAAAACATTTTAAAAAATTTTAAAAAAAATCAGTATGTCAAAACCTAATCTGACAAAATATTAAGTTTCTGTTTTCCTGTGAGCAGGATATGAAATCTCAAAGAAGCTTTTCCTGTCAAAACTGACATACCCAGTTCTGAAGACTAAAATAAAGGAAGGGAATAGAAGAAAGAAAAGATAAAAGGACACTAACAATACCAATAGCATCTTAACACAATAATCTGGTAAAAGGTTAATATCAAATAAATTGCTAAGATCTATTACTGAAATGTCTTTATAATACTTTAATATATTAAATACAAGCTGAAGATGTTTTAAAAAAAATGTATTTAATGCATATTTGTTTCAACTCGAAGCAGCACACTTAACTGAAGAATTTCTCCTGAAGTGAATGCTGCCATTCTTGCAATTGTAAAGCATATATATTTAAGAATGTATTTTTAAATGCAGAGAAAAAAATAAAAATCCTTTGTCACATCGAATGTTAGCAGTGCTAGTCTATAGCTATTCCTTTTTACCCGACTCTTCACACACAAGGATACATGGCAGCACATTTGGTCAATTTTAACAAGGAGTAACACCGAAAAGTCATGGTTTGAAGATCATTTTGCTGTCAGCTGAAGAGCTTCTTTCCATACTACTTATTTTATCCACCCTTCATAATGAAAATTAAGAGGAAAGTTACTTCCAACTAAATAATGTGACAGCTTGAAAGACTACAGTGTTAAGTACCTCAATACAGCATACAGATTCTTTGTAAGTGGAAGAAACATCTTTCCCATGAGTCAGAAGGGAGAATTTAAAGACCACCTTTTACAAAGACACGAGTATCCTTCATCCTACATAAACTGTGAGTGTTAGAACATTAAAACTCAGATTACTAGCCAGTGGAACAGTTGCCAATATAGTAAGCATAGTGTATATTTCTGCTTATATTTATGTTTTCTTTACATTTATAACATTTGCTATGATTTTTACATGTACATCTTTTAACAAAAAATAAGTTAAATGCAAGCAGGTACCCCTCCCGCCTCCATCACCACCACTTCTATTTTGTGAAGCGTCTGCCCCTGTGATCAAATAGATTTCATAATAAAAACGTTAAATTACATCTTACTTTTTGGTCAACAGTAGCCATGCAGTTGTCCTGTTTCTGCTTCTCTTTGTTTTTTCTGTGAACTTCTTTATTTGTAGTATTTTCTTTCTCCACTGCAGATTCTGTGGCTGATGGCAAATACATGACTTCTAGTTCAAATTCAATCACATGATATGCAGGAGCTACTGGCAAACTGATGCTTGTGATCTTTTCAGAAGACTGAATCCTTAACGATGATTCTGAGATCTTTTCTATAGTTGTGTAGAATGGGGAAAAAAGTAGTTTTAAAACACATTCATCCCTTCCCAATTTTCATTTTAATCCGTAAGTAAGTAATGAAACTAGCCTAAAAAGCTAAGCGTCACAGAAAAAATACGTGGTGCCATAACCGCTTCCTAGCAAGACCTCCATGTTTGCAAAAACAACGACGAGAAACTGTGTTACATAACTCCACGGTGACCTCTTCAAATGAGCTATAACCTGCACATCTTAAATACCACTGCTGTTCACAACTTCCCAATAGTAACGCTCTGTCCTTCTTAGACTGCAGGAAGGTAAACAACACATTCCGTGTAGTAGCCCCTTCCAATGTTCAAGAAAGAACTATGAGGACAATTTGATAACAAGCTTCAAACTAGCTAAAGAACTACTTTACTCCATCATATGACACCTGTTGAAGTTTTTACAATGTCCTGCACTTCCTTAGTCTCATAATTTCACTTCAAGCAAACTTACAACTTATTCAACACATATGCATCAGCATTCTTGGTCACCACTCATCGTCTATCTTTAAAATACTACCCACGGGGTCCCTCTGTATAGTCTATTTTAATCTTAAATTCATCAAGTCTGTTAAGACTGTTCTTCCCATTTATGTAAAAGTTGCTTGTGTTTGAGCAGCTGAGGAGACTATACAGTACTTATGCTCGGAAAAAACGGAACTAGGATGTCATCTGTTTAAATGAAACACCAGCCAAAGGAAACACTCCATTTACATAGAGCACTACGTAAAAACCTATTTACAACTACCTCGCAATAAAAATGGTCCAGTCAAAATAGAGCCCACATGGTAATAAGAGATCACCATGATTCACTTGGAAATCATGACAGATGCTCACCTCAGCAGCAGTTTCTCCATGACTACTGAATTTCATCAATGAAAGTAAAAGTTGTCCAGCTATGTTTGCTGAAAAGTTCATACTACTACTTTGAGGGTGAAAGTTTAAGACCTGTCTTGCACTGAAGTACTCAGTTGCAAGTCCCTAGAATTATTCTTAATAATGACTATTGAAAAAGATGGCATCAGTGTTCTTAATACTGTAAGTATAGGTTTACTTCAGGGTTACTGAATTTTCAGCCATTTAAAGATTATTAATTTTCACTTCATTGCTTACCCCTGGTGTTGGAATAGATCACTGCCTTGCTCTCCAGATGGTACAGAATAGGCATGGCATCCGCATTACTGAGCTGCAAAGTATCCCCATTCTTCATGGTGTAGTGACCAGTAGTCACCGTGAATTTCACCTTTTGGGGAATGCCAGCCAAAAGGCTATCTGAAGAAAGAAAGAAATTGTTAACAGATTCCAATACTCGTCAGTAGATGGTTACAATGCACTGCTAAGGCCTGTTAGCAATATTCCCAGACAATTCGTCACACGTTAGGGTAACTTAAAAGCGTGGTGTTTTGGTGTTACGCAACACATTAAACCCAGTTCGGATACATCAGTGTGGAGAAACCGGTCGTTTCAACTTGAGTGACCAAAACCACTGGTTCTTGGATGGCTTAGACTAGCTGGCTCATATACTGCGTAGCTCTGGCAGCACAGAATTCAGTAAAATACAATAATCCCAAAGAATTTACTAAGCTTTTTGTTAAGCTCTCCAGGTTGTAGACAGCTTTATATTTTTGCACCTACGATGCCAGTCATATCCACATGCTGTATTTACATAATCAAGATAACAAGAATGCCAGTATGCACACAGACTCTCAAATATCTGAATCACACCCGTCAATTTCATAGGGGTAGCTAATTTGATTAATGCCCAATATGCCTGCCCTTCCTTTGCCACAACTGGAATGACAGCACAAAATGCATATTAACTTGTCAACTGCCTCAGTTAATAGCCTGAAAACAAAATCACTATTAACTTCTACTTATAAACTCCAATAAAGTCTACAACAATAATGCTCAGCTGCCCATGAAACCAATGGATGTATTCAATATTAAGTATTAATAATTTTATATTCTCACCTCTAGTAGAGATTCCCACTCCTTACACATTTCTCATAAACACCAAAGAGACTGCAGAGTCACAGAACCAACCAATAAGGAGCTCAGTCGATTACAAATTTAAATATTCACTTCTCCTGATCAGTGTCGCAGCTCAAATCATACCTGATATTTACGTGACACTACATGCTCAAATTCGTGTTCAAAAGTGACACCACATGTTTCAGAGCCAAGCACTGGAATTAGTTGTTGAAAACTAGCCATCACTGACAGAGCATACTTGATGGATAATTTGAAAAGTGAGAATTTATTTTAGACTCAAAATTGAGAGTAAGGCAAAAAAATCTGAGTACTATTCAAGCCAGAAAACGCTTTGTCTAGTCCCACGAGAGTACAACTGAAATCATCAAAGCAACTTCAGCATAGCACATAGTACAGTTACCTACCAGTCATCGGTTCCACTTTTAGCTGGGGCTCCTGAGAATACACATCATACTGCACAATTGGGTAAATATGAAGAAGGACAAACTGTACTTTCCCCACTGAAGTGCACAGCTGCCTGAGCGTGTATGTCCCAGGTTCTTTGGCCTTTGAAGAAAACATTTGAATGGATTTTTCAATTTAGGAAATACTTCTAAAACAAACCCTCTACTAAAGAACAGCATTTTTTCCAGCTCATTTTTATCAGATACTTTGCATTTGTAAATTAAAACAACAGATTTGTTCTCTGAGTAAGTGACAAGATTTTCACAAAGGAGCACCTTTTGCCCCGTTAAGATAGAAGCTGTAGAGTGCTGGCTGAATCAAGAAAAAACATCATAAGTAACAAGTATTAATAATTAGAAGAACTAATAGAGTAGCTATGCTGTCAAATTGTTATTTTGGGGTGCTTTTTGTCCTCTTTGTTCGTTGTTTTTCCACCCTACAAGTGCCACATACATTAAAATATAATTATGTTTATTAAATACTGAAATGGTATTTAGCAAGCAGTGAAGTGCTTATTTGGCTAACATTCATGAAATCCTCCAACATTTATATAAGGCACAGCTTTCAGCTCAAGCTTGATTTCACACACTCCCCACCTCAAACCCTGCGTGAATGCTTACAAAAAAGTAATACATACATATTTAATTTCAAACTCTTCTCTTACCCTGAATAATGGGATTCTGGATGTTTTTCGATAACATTATAAAAAGCAAATCTGTAACATCTGCTAGCATATTTATTCTTGATTCTATTTTCTTGTAGTTATTACTGCTAGGGAATGGGAAATGTTTTCTTTTTTCATGTGCTGTTTTAGCAAATATAATACATAAATATTGATGCTGGGTATAATTAAATCTAAAGAATACGATTAGAAGTTATGGAGAAAAGCTGTAGCAACTTAACATTCAAACCTCACTTACACAGTTATTTACAAAGCAAATCCTGACTGAAATTCAGTACTATGCATTTTGACATTAAAGTCACTAAATTTTATCCCTTGAATACTTTATAAACAGAAAAGCACGAGTAAAAGTATTTCATAATATATACATACTTCAAACCTCAACATGGGATGGGAATATTGGTCTGAAGAATTTAGATAATGCTTTCTGATCTCTTTTAAAGCTTGAAAAAAATACACTGGAAGATTGCTATCAGCATAAATGATGTTAATGATCAGTCTAAGATCCACAGAAAGAATCAAACTCTCTCTGCATCTCAGAAGCACAGTCATTCCTCTTTCTGCAAAAGTAGTGCATTACTGTAAGAAAATTTAGACAACAAGTTGTCAGCAGTTTCTATCCTCTGGCCAGCTATGTAATCCAGTAGAAGTGATGCAGTATACTACTACAATGATAATGGATTTTTAGTAAATATTTTGGAAATACTGCTGCTCAAATCTAGAGAGGCTTTCATCATGTTATCTAGTGATACACTGTCAGAATTATAACATATTCAGATTTTCCCTTTAAGGAAGGTAAGTCATGCTATGAACAACTGTATAAAGATAAGTAGGATTCACTCTGAACAGTCTTCCCATGCAAAGTTCTTTCAAGAAAGCAAGGTTGGGAAAACACAAAAGTTATGAGCTTAAGCTGTCCATCCTCCAACAGCCACCAGAAGCATGCAGAACAAGGCAAATTTAAAGCAGAGCTATAGCTAGCTTTTTATCCATATCTCTTCTCCTGTGGTTTCAGATTGCTTCCTGGTCTCCCTAAGCCAATATGCCTGCTCAGAACAGTCTCTAACAGCTTTCTTCTAGTAAGGCTCCTTCACGTGAAATCCAGTTGTACATACATGTTAATTTATTTTACAGAAAACTACATTTGCAGCCACCAAGACCTCTGACATCTCCAAATCCCAGTAACTTGTCCCAATCCTTTGAAAGAACGAGAAACCCGGATTAGGTCAGTAGGTAGTTCAAATGACATTATTGCCATTTCACATTGTATCATCAGGGACTTGAACTCAACTTCCATCTTGTGATACCTGCTATCCACACAGGTTCCACAATGCGCGCGTGCACATGTCCCAAGCACATCTCTCTAGTGCTTTCTGCCCAGGAGGAATGGAAAGGCAGAGTACGTAAGCCTACAGAAAGCTTCACTCTAAACAAAGTTCTATGACAAGATAGAAATTAAAAATAAAAAAAAAAGGA